TTCTGGTTGATCAAGAATGAACAGAAAATATACATTCTCGATCAACCAGAACATAAAAATCTATCAGAAAATAAACAGATCAACTGTCTATTCTCTTTACAATTCACGTTTTTTGATCTTAGTTGCAAGCAGTTCATCTGCAATTTTATATACATTTTCGACTGCTCTATTAACATTTTCATTATATGTATCTATTCTAAAGTTTGTTTCAATTTCTCGACTAAGAAGTTTAATGTTTAAATAATGTATACTTTGAGTATAATAAATATATATGCCAAAGCAAATAAACAAATAAAAATAAAATAAAAATAATGTTCTTATAGAACAAATTAGTTTCTTTAAAACTAATAAAGGTTTTATTTGTTCTTTCAAGAGAACAGATTCTTCTATTACGTTCTCCAAATTCTCTTGTCAATCTTTGAGACAAAGAGTTAGTATCAAAATAAACTGTATCTAAAATAATTAAATTATTTAATAAAATAATAATTATTTAATAAAATAATTAATTAATTAATTAAAAATAAACCTTCAGAACTTGCAACTTCTTCTAAAGTAATTGTTTCAATTTGTTCGACAACAGGTTGAAAAGCCATTTTGTTAGAGTTATTTGTTTTTAATTTTGTTAAAAATTACAAGAATTTGAAGTTAAAAAAATCTAATTTTTAGATTTATATATACCAGAGTTTGTAAAGATGCATTAGAAACTGTGTCCTGATAACTTGGAGGAGCATCTGTTAGATTATCAGGTTCGACTTCTAAGCTTGAAGATCTTGTCAAAATTGTAATTCTTTCTGGGTTTTCCATATTAATTTCAAAAATGTATTGTAGAATGATGGATATTGAGATGATAAGAAAAAATACAGTAAAAAACATTTAATCTGCAAAGTTTTAGAAAATCTGAGAAATTTTTGTAAAAAAATTGGGATTGTACGGTGTAAAACAGTATTTTTTTATAGCAATCTACGTCTGTTATCAGTAGATCATAATCAAAACAAATTAGGGTATTGTTTGTCGTTCCAAAACAAGGCTGAATGGAGGGATTGGATGAGCGTATTTGGTTGCATCTGACTGCATGTGACCACATAAACAACCAGTCATTCACATGTTTATCGGATAACAGTATCAATTAACTAAATCAAAACTCATTCTATTGGATTATTCGTTTTTCTTTGTTGATCAGATAAGAACAAAGCCAAATTTAGACTAATTCTTAGTAATATTATATGCTGCCTGAGAATTCTGGTGAATTCTTTAAAATTACAATCTAGTTCTACAACACAGAACGCTGTTCCAAAGCAGGGTAATACCAGAATCAAAAAAATACCTGAAAGGTGTTTTTTTAGTATTACCCTGCTCTGGAACAGCGTTCCAAAAACAATAACAGTATTAAAATAAAAAATTAGTTATTATTTTTATTATCATTATTTTTATTATTTTTTTTTATTATCATTATTTTTATTTTTTTTTATTATTATTACTTTATTTTATTGGCGATATAATTTATTTTGTCCAATCAGAAACAATATTCACCGCTCCAATCAGAAACGGTGGGGAAATTAGGCCCCCGATTTTGCTGAGCACTACTAAGAACATTTT